TGTTTATTTTGCAAAGACCCCCGGTGGTGACTTTGCCGCTTGCCCAGGGGGTGTTTGAGAAAGTACGTTTTATTTACCTGAAACTGGTTCTCACAATGACTGCCATGTTCTTCCAGTGGAAAAAGGGGAATTGGGGGGGCACACCCGGAACATGCATTTCTAAGTAGTGTTCCTGCTGTATAGACCTAAATATACACAAAATACAGATTGTGCACACACGCAAAAAAATATATAGTTTTACATTTTGCAAGGCTACTTGAAATCAACTGTGTGAGCAAACTAATACTTTAGTAGCTTTTTAAAATGAAAAACTCTTTTTTTGTGTGTGTGCACTGTACCTTAACCTGTATTATGTCCATCCGGTTGCACTGGGGCCCGCACACTGATGGGGCCCATCGGGTGGCCCACACACTTAGGGCCACCCAATGGGCTCTATATCTTCAGGAGCCCGGTGAGCGCTGTGGCTGTGTAATAGCGCGACCAGGTCCCTTTAAAAAAAAAAAATGCAGCCATAGCGCAAGTGCTGCTGGGAGGAAGTGGTCACTTCCTCCCAGCTCACTCCGCGAAGGGAGGAGAGCCAGCTAGACAGTGAAGAGGGGGAGCCACGCCGACTCCCATCAACCCCAGCCACCCTCCTGCAAAGAAAAGGTAAGAAACAGGAGGGTGGCTGAAAATTGAGCTCTGTGTGTGTGTGTCTGTCTGTATGCATGCATGTATGTCAGTATGTATGAATGTATGCATGTCTGTCAGTATGTATATATGTCTGTATGTCAGTATGAATGTATGTATGTGTGTATGGATGTCAGTGTATGTATGTATGTCAGTCTCTCTGTCTGTCTGTATGTATGTATGTCTGTGTGTGTGTGTGTGTATGTGTGTATGGATGTCAGTGTCTGTATGCATGTATGTCTGTCTGTATGAATGTATATATGTATGGATGCCAGTATCAATGTATGTCAGTAAGAATGTATGTATGTACGTATGTCTGTATGTCATTATGAATATACGTCTATGTATGTGTGTATGGATGTCAGTGCATGTATGTCTGTCTGTATGTATGTATGTATGTATGTCTGTCAGTATGTATGTCTGCATGTCATTGTGAATGTATGTCTGTTTGTATGTATTGTAACAAACCACCTCTTTTACAGGTAGGATTGTCACAGATCTTGCAGTAACCACAGCCTTCTAGGGTATACAAAGTCCAGGACACAGTCAGCTCGGTTTTCCTTTTTATTCAGTAAGAAACAGGTGCTTTAAATAATAACAAAAACAAACAAAATCCCTTGCTCTTACTTGAGCTCTTACTAGACAGGAATTACTATCTGCAATTGTGTGGCTTTCCCACTTACCAATTTTCCAAACAAAAGAAATGTCTTTGCAATAAACACAATCTCTCCTAGCTGTCTTTTTCTCCCTCACTCTGCATTAGGCTGCCCTCTTCTTTTAAAGGCCTGTCTACTAATTGACTAGCTACAGGTGAGTGCCAATTAACTAACTCGTAAGTCAAATCCAAATAGTGGTCTGTTACACAGCAAGTAATGCTGTTGGAGCATTGGCCCACCCTGCTCTCCAAATACTCCGCCCCAGGGACCCATACCATGTTTTGCAGAACCTTAGCAATGTATATTGCAAACTTTAACATCTCTCCCTGGGGCATTTAACTGAAAAATCCTCTGGTTGCTGTTTAGCAAATCAGGTCTGATGTATCTCCCATCAACCACTATTCCACCTTTACGCTCACAGTATGTATGTGTGAATGGATGTCAGTGTCTGTATGTATGTATGTATGTATGTGTGTATGTATGTCAGTATGAATGTCTGTCAGTATGTATGTCTGCATGTTATTATGAATGTATGTCTGTTTGTATGTATGTATGTGTGTATGGATGTCAGTGTCTGTATGCATGTATGTCAGTATGCATGTATGTCCGTCTGCATGTCATTATGAATGTATGTCTGTGTATGTATGTATATATGTATGAATTAATGTATGTATGTCGGTGTCTGTATGTATGTCAGTATGTATGTATGTATGTATGTGTGTCTGTATGTCCTTATGCGTGTGTGTCTGTATGTATGTTAGTATGTGTCTGTCTGTCACTATGTATGCCTGTCTGTATATGTGTGTATGTCTCAGTATGTGTGTGTCAGTATGTATGCCCATATGCGTGTATGTCTGTTTCAGTATCTGTGTCTGTTAGTATGTATCTGTGTTTGTGCATCTGTGTCCTTTTGTATCAGTGTGTGTGTTTGTGTCTGTGTGTGTATTCCTGTGGGCGGGATTTGGAGGCGGACCCTGTGGGTGGGCTTGGAGGCAGGCCCCCAGGGGCCCAGACCCTGAGCCGAGTTAGGGGCCCCAAAATTTCTGGTGGTGCCCCTGCCGGTGGGAATGTCTAGATGCAATGCCTCAAACCATCTAGAAGTTCGGCCGAAACCTACATTTGCCCATTACATTTTAATCCCCTTCTCTTCTCGCTCTATATTTCAGTTCTGTCACTTCCTGTTTCTCTTTCAACTGCCCTACCCTAATTAGTCCTCATCCTGCTCCAGTTTAATTACGTCTCGCTTCCCTCCAATTCATTACCTGAATTAGAGTTCTTTTCTATCTCTATTTAAAGAGAGCCTCAGGGCACCATAACAACTTCATCAGAAAGGAGTTGTTATTGTGCCCAGTGGTCCATGCTGCTGACTTACCAGAAGAAGTTAAACTGTTAAACTGTTTGTGAATGGTAGATTGAATACTTTGGGGTTAAACTGTTCATTAACGGTTTAATCTCTAAAGGTAAGCCGGTGCCAGCAACTTTATTAGGTTCAATTTAACCTATTCATAAAGCAAACGGAAATACAATTACTTCTTTAAATATCATTCTCAAAAATGTACTTAAAGAATGCAAAGTTAAGAAAGAGGCATTAAAATGCCAACCAATAAATACACTTACAATAAATTCGTTATGTTTTGCAATGTAGTAAGAAACTAAAATTGATGTAAAAGAAACATAAATAAGGGACAAGGAGAATAAAGTGGGACAAAGATTGGGTGTTCCAGGGCATACCTATTGTGCAAGTCTGCAGTTTTATAAACTGGGGATCTACTTTTTGGGCATCCCCGATGTAGACTATGATGCTACATTAAGTCATATGATCACAACCTAATAATTTATTATGTGAAAGTCTGTTTTGAATAAGCCATATATGCCTTGTAGCTTAATATAACTGGTCTGAACACATTTTGTGATTTAGCCCACATTAATCCACAATTAACAGATATCAATCTAAAGCGACTTCATATCAAAGAGATAGCATAAAAAATAATTGGAAAGGTTAATAATTTAATGAATATGATTACTTATTGTTTTGCGTGCTCCCACTGACCCTGAAGCAAATGTCAAAGAACATAGTAATATTATATTGCAGACACAATAATCCAAGCGTCTGAATCAATGCATTGAGGTTGGTGCAAGAAATTAATCATTTTAATTACATTATAAAATGTCACGTACAGTATTACACTAGATTTTACAGCCTGGCAAAAGACAACGTCTCCTTACAAAATTCACCTTGATCGTCTCAAGGCTGAAACATTGGGATATACTCTTTGATGTGTTACCCAAAATGGAAACTAAAAATTCTATTTTCCATTTTGGTTAACTCAGCAAAGTGTATATATACATATATATTCTAAAATACATCTGTATCCCCAAAAATATAATCACTGTTTTAATGTCAAATAGTTTAATTTTACAATTTACTGCAGAATGTAATAATGATGTAAATGCTAGTAAACAATAGGCGTAATATAAAAATATCAAATTATTTAACCAGGAAGGTTACATTTAGTGTTGCCATGTTTAAGGTATGTCTTGGAGTTTTGACGTTATAAATACCCAACACAATGAAAATCACACGTAGAAGTAGATTAAAATGTAAGTATTATCAATTGAATAACATGTAAGTATTATCAGTAACAAACAAGGAAAGGTACTCAGTACTTTAGTACTAATGTTTACAGAGAAGCGAGAATTGAAATGAACATTTGCTAGACCCTGTAATATAGACCAAAGGACTAGTCACTAGGGCATTTCACTTTGCTTAGTTGAGCTTAGTATAGTTGAGTAGATGCATTGGCCTCTTTTTCAGTTGATGAAGGACTAAATCTGGAGGCTTGAGCCGGTACAGATAGGTCATCAATTCACTGCCATTTAGGAGTTAAATACATTTTGTTTCTGGGTATGCAGCCCTAGCCACACCTCCCCTGGCTGCGATTCACACAGCCTCCATGGAACAACGGTTTCATTTTCAATCATACCTAATAGCACAGAGGTGCTTTATCTCCTGCTCTGTTACTTAAAGTTTAATCATACACAGAATGTTCTTGCAGGCTCTAGCAGGCTATTAGAGGAGGAGATGAGAAATTCTAAATTAAACACTCTGTGCAATAAAGGAAGTGTAATGATTAAATCTCTCTTTACATGAAAAACTGTAGGGAAACTGTGTGGGTCACATGCAGACTAGGGCAGCATAAACAGGGATTTAACTCCTAAATGACAGATAATTGAGAAGTCAGGCTGCAGGGGCATGATCTATACACCAAAACTTTTTCATTAAGCTAACGTTTCTTTGGTGCCTATAGTGTCCCTTTAATGAGCAGTGCAAAAGGTGCCTGATTGAATGTCTTGTAGGAAACCCAAATGACAGAATGAATTATTTTGAGACTCAAAGTTGCAGTTTCAGAAGGTGCTGGAGACACTGCGAGTGGATCCTTAATTTCTGGGCTTTCCTATGATCTTTAAAGGGATACAGTAGGCACTGTAACTATTTTACCTAGTTTAAGTGCTTATAGTGTCTGGGGTCCATCATTCCATTCAGCATTAAACAGCGTTTAATGTTTTAATGCTGAGCGAGAGTCCCCTGCAGCCCACCCCCTAAATCATTAGCCTGAGCAGCAATGGGTGGCTGTGATTGGCAGAGAGTGTCAGCTGATCTCTGGATATCGACACACAGCATGGCACCATATATATCAATCACATATGCAGCACTCACCACTCGACACATTTCAATGGAAAATTAAACCAGTCTCAGAGTGTGTTTTTGAGATTCCTGTCACTATTGCATTTATGACATCAGGTACTTACAATTTTTCTCCAAAAATAAGACTTATAGGTCTTATATTCATTTTTGCTCCAGAAAATGCACTAAGGCTTATTTTCGGGGTATATCTTAATTTTCGGAGAAAAACAGTAGCAAGCATGTGCTAGAAAGCAGGTCTATGTTCGGGGAAATCCCCCTGAACATAGACCAGTTTACTAGCACATGGAATCCCTTTAATCTATGCTCCGGGAAAATTCCCAGAACATAGATTAGTGAACTAGCGACGATATCAACTAGGGCTTATTTATGGGGTATGTCTTATCTTCGGGGGATGTCTTATATATATATATGCAATATGAACTAATGCACGCAGAGGTTATAACACGCGCAAACCTTTATTTTAAATAACGTTAAAAAAGTATGACAGTCTACCTTTAACCCCTTAAGGACACATGACATGTGTGACATGTCATGATTCCCTTTTATTCCAGAAGTTTGGTCCTTAAGGGGTTAAACGTGCACAATAATTATGAAAACAATTACGATTACCAGTTAAACATATTGCACAGCAAGTGTTGGCATTTATTTAGGATACATTTCTTTTTCAACATATGAAAGGTTTTGAGTAATAAAAATATACTTACAAATGCACAGCGTTCACCGGGTTTTACAGTGACATCAAAGCAAGTGATATTTTTCAAACTGGTTAAATGAGTTCTACTGTTAAGCAATCAGTACTGTATAGTCTGTAAATAGCTCTGATCACGAATTGTCAAATGGCATTCAATATCAACCAGTACGAGTATATTTAAACTGCTGTAATTTTATTTATGAAAATGATGCTGTGGTATGTCGTAAAACATAAATTCTGATAGATGAAACCTAAATGCAGGAGGTATATGTATCTTTTCTGAGAAACCTGAATGAATGAAAAGAGGAGGCTTTTACATCATACCACTTAAAGGAAAGTTCCAAGGATGAGTCTATCCATTATTTGTTAATGTATGGTGGAAATAATGAACAGAATATATGCAATACAATCTGGAAAAAAAATAAAATTAAATAAATATGCTCAAATGTGTTGTTCATGCATAGTTACTACATTAGTTGCAAATTCTTCGGCTTTTCAGCTTCTACAGTGAACTCTGTAAAGAAAGGTGATTTATGGATGTAGCAAGGGTTTGTAGGAGGTTATAAAGCATTGGAGGACATCATGGGCATGATGGAAGATGTGTTATTGAGCTGTATGTTTGACTGAAGCTTTGGGCGTTGTAGATGTGATGGGAGCGTTTGTATGTGTGGCAGTCTATATATGTCTATTCTGCCTTGAATTGTTAGTAAGCGCGGAGTCCTCCATGGATGTTAATTGGTTATTTGTATGTGTCACAGTTTTTGTTTTTAATAGTTGTGTCGATTTATGATGGGTATTTATGAGGCCATTTTGGAGGCCAAAAAGGAAAATTATAGAAGGATAAAGAATTTCAGAAGGCAAGAATGGAGACCACCTCACAATTATTGGGTTGATGAGGTAGGTGGGAGGTATTTAATGAAGAGGCTGGGATAACCTTAAAAAGGGGGGTGGAAAAGGACATGTCCAGCCCCCACTGCCCTTTTGTGCTAATTTTCCCCCACCCGAAGACCATGGAAGGCATTTGGCAGTGGCATGTCCAGTGCTCCAGTTTATTTGTAAGACACTTCCTGCAGCCTTTCCCCCTTTTTCCTATAGTCTCTACTGGCTACCCATGGGTAGGGGCTGTGGTGATACAGGCATGTCCCCCTCTATGTATTATTATTGACCACCAACCCACTACCGGGTGAGGGTGGGCTGTGACATGTCTACCCCCATTATAACAATGTATAACCCACTTCATGACCATGGGTTTGGGCATGGGGTGACCGTGCTAGGTCTTCCCTGATAATTTCATGGTTGGATATTTTAGCAACTGGACAGCTAAAGCTGCCCAGCTGCTAACCTTTTAAGCCCAGCACTTAGTAGATATGATGAGTAGGGTCATTAGAGATGTGGATCATGCTGACCCTCATAGGCTTTTACATTTTAAAAAACAATCTTTACTTTGGTGCCAAGCTATGAAGTGCTGGCCAGCCGGCACATGCAGAGGCATAACTAGAAACCACAGGGCCCTGGTGCAAAAATTGCCCCGGGCCCCCTCCTAATGTGTCTCCTTATCACCCCCCTCGGTGCTCTCTTTCCTTTAAGGGATTAAACCGCTCTCAAATGGTTTAACCCCAAAGGCTTCCTCCAGCTCCAGATCTCCAGGTCGCTCAGTGGTACTTGGCTTCTGAAACGGAGTGTCAGGAAGTGCAGATTGACATCAGGCATGGGTGCTGCAGATTGACTAGAATGGTCAGCTGACGCTCTAAGCCAATCGCTAGTTCCTGGTTCATAAAAATGTTTTACTTTTTTATGAATGGGGAGCTACTGATTGGCTTAGAGTGCCAGCTGACCGCTCCAGCCATTCAGCGACATCCCTACCCAGCGGCACTCTGTGTTTCCTGCATAGGCGTGCGCACAGGTTGTGCTGGGTGTGCCTGGGCACACCCTAATCCCCGCGGCACGCCTATGTATTGAGACCAGCAGGGGAGATCTCAGGATATCCCCTGTCGGCTCATGCATGGAGGGAGGCAGGAGAGGACCCGGGGAGCTCAACCAGCAGCTCCGCCGGGTTCCTCTCGCGAGAGTGAACTCTAGCCCCACAGGGTGGTCTCCAATGGACCACAAGGGAAAGCAGCAGGAACAAGAATCCCCCCTCCCTACATAAGGTAAGAAGGGAGGGGGGATATTAAGTAATGTACCCACACACATACAGCACACACACACACAGCACCCACACAGCACCCACACACATACAGCACACACAGAACCCTCACACACATACAGCACACACACACACACATACAGCACACTCACACATACAGCACACTCACACATACAGCACACTCACACAAATGCAGCACACTCATACAGCACCTTCACACATACAGCACCTTCACACATACAGCACCCACACACACACAGCACCCACACACACAGCACCCACACACACATACAGCACCCACACACACACATACAGCACCCTCACACACAGCACACACACACATACAGCGCACACACATACAGCACCTTCACACATACAGCACACACATACAGCGCACACACACATACAGCACACACGCACACACAGCACCCTCACACACATACAGCACCCTCACACACATACACACACACACAGCACACACATACAGCACCCACACAGCACACACACACACAGCACCCTCGCACATACAGCACCCACACACATACAGCACCCTCAAACACACAGCACCCTCTCACACACAGCACAGAAACAGCACCCTCACACACACACCACACTAACAGGACCCTAACAAATACACACACACAAACACCCTCACCCACACATAGCACACAAACAGCACCCTCACACACACATCACACTAACAGCACCCTTACACACACAGCACCCTTACATACACAATACCCTCAAACCACCCTCACGCAGAGCACACACACACACACACACACACACAGCAGTGTATGTATGTGTGTGTATATATATATATATATATATATATATATATATATATGTGTATATATATATATACACGCGGCGTGTGTTTGTGCTTTAGGTTGCACACCCTAATGCAATAGGCTGCGCACGCTTATGGTTTCCTGACAATCAGTAAATAAAAGTGGACACATTAACATTGATTTTTTTACCTGGGGAGATAAAAAGGTCCAAAGTTTCCTTGCTAGGCCCAGGTACCAAAGCCTTATGATGTGGTGTCCAGAATAAAGTGGAGGGTTCACTTCACTTGTCCTTCCTGCTCCAATCTCCTTTTCTTCTCCTTCATTTGACACAGTCTTCTTTTTCTTCTGACACTGTCTTTTCTCCTCCTTGGCTTCTTGTGCTCCTTTACCTTTCTGCTACTTTCTGCTTATTTTGTGCCCTTCTGCTCCTTTCTCTTTCTGATCCCTTTCTGCTCCTTGCAGAACCTTTCTGCTCCTTCTC